TTCTTTTTAGGATTGAAAGACGAAGACGGTTCCACGGATGGCCCGGAAGTGCAGGAAAATATTTCAAAATAAAAGCCTAACATAATGCAAGCCTGAAGAAAAAATCATTTCTTTATTTTATTTATTAACCGCAATAAATGCTTCCCTCCAGGAGGTTGGCGTCTCTCCCTCTTTTAATACCCAATTGAATGCATTTTTTAATAAGGGGATCAATGGTTTTCTTAGCAGTTTATAAAATTCAGAAGAGTATCCGTCTGTGCCCGAGGCCTTGTTATTTTTCAATCTATTTCTTCTTCCGTAATCTCCTTTGTTAATATACAATTTTATCTTCTGTTATTCTTGGTAAATTCAAAGATTCCAGTAAGGCATGCATTTGATTATTATTATCAAGTTCTACTTGGGAATATAATTTTTTATCGTAACTATCAAAACAATTTTGAATCTCTTCTGTCTTATATTTTATCAAATTTGAGGAGTCCCTGATTTTGAAAATACTATTATTATTAACCATTTGCTTTTTCATTCTGTAAGCTAGCAATTTAGCTGATTTACCTCCTCCTTCATAATACTGTTGTTTTGTGGACATTAGATTTTTTTTAATCTCATCTTCCAAGATGCAGTTTATCTCTGTTTGTATTCTTTTAATTTCTTGAGATCTGTTTTCATCCTGAGGAGATGTTTTGTGTTTCCTTTCTAATTCTTTTAGTTCCAATTGTAATTTTTTAAGTTTGCCCTGTTTTTGCCTTTTTAAGTACGCTGATTAGCTTCCCTCGGATTACTGCTTTGCATGCATCCCACAACGTCTCTGGTGAAACCGCATCATTATTATTTTCCTTTACATATATATCAATTTCTTTTGTAAGTTCTTCCTTCATATTTCCTTCTAATAAGCTTGTGTTTAGTCTCCACATTGTTGTTTTTATTTCCTTTGACAATTCCAGAGTGATATAAACTGGACTAAGAGCTGATACATCCCTTATTCCAATGTCACAATTTTCCACTCTGTATCTGTCCTTATTATACATAAAGAAATAGTCGATTCTTGAATAAACAGAGTGAGGCGGTGAAAAATATGTATAGTTTCTGCCTAATGGATTTAGCTCCCTCCAGACGTCCATCATTCCCAACTCTGCCAGTAATTCTTTAAATTTCTTATTAATTATAGATTTTTGCCTCCGACAAGTTGTGGATTCAATCTGAGGTTTAAATCTCCTCCACCTATTAAAATGCCTTCTCCCTCAGCTGTCATTAAATCAAACATCTTTCTATAAAAGTCAGAGCCTGGTGGGGCAAACATATTCAGGATAGTAACCAGTTCTCCTTCTAATCTTCCCTTGATCAGCATGTACCTCCCTTCTTTGTCTATTATTTCTGAAAGCTGAGTCTCCCTGATATAAGGATTGCAACTCTTCTCCTATGGCCCGATTTATATGATGAGTAAAATGCTTGATTAAAACCATTTTTCTTAAGTTTCTCATTTTCCTTCTCTGACAAGTGCGTCTCCTGCAGCATCGCCACTCCCACCCCCTCCCTTCTCAATTTTCCTAACACTTTAGACCTTTTAATTGGGTTGAGCATCCCATTCACATTAAAAGAGGGCAACTTTAGTACCTTTTTCTGTGTTGTCATTTACACCATGTATCTCTTTATTTTCCACCTTCCCTACATCTTGAAGGGCCCTTAGGCTACAGATAAACAAAGTGATAATGAACACACAACTACAGAAATTTAGAACATTCACTGATGAACTTGTGACTAACAAACGAACTTCCAAGAGTTGGGTCTTTGCTGTGACCCTTTGTAAGCCATGTTGGAATACCTGCCCAAAGGGATGACCTCTCCCTGCCAGAGGGAGTGGGCCCTTCCTGTTGCAGTTAGCTTTGTTCATGTTTACTCCACCGCTCCAGAAGTTCACAATAAAGGGGAGGATACCCCGACCCTTATGAAAAAATAACCCCCCTTCGGAAAAAAAAAAGCTTTCAAAACAAAATCTGTTAACTTGATCTGAGGTATCTCTCCCTTAGCCCCTGATTTTTCCTTCAGACTTGAATAGACCCATCCAAAAACTGAAAGATCTTAAATACTCATTTGTAAAGGCAATGGTCCTTAATTGTCATCCTGACTTCTCCTAAAGCATTGCAGTCATTGTTTATATCTTTCTACCGTCTCTCTGGGTGTCTGTCCTTTCTTTGCGCCGATGGTCTTCCAAGTTAGGCGTCTGATTTTCTCCAAGCTGTTTTATCCGCCGGTCTGGTCACCGTCACCTGTAGCCCTCGCTCCGCCATGTCCTTGGTCGCCTCCTCAGCCGTGTTGTAAATCTGCGTCTCTTCCTCGTAGAAAACACGCTGTCTTGCCGGGAATGGCGTCTGGAACCGTATGTTCTTCTCCCGCAGAACTCTTTTCGCGTCTATGTATTCCTTTCGTTTCTTCAGCACTTCCGGGGCATAGTCATGATCCAGAAAAACTTTCTTCCCCTCATACATGAATCTCTTCTTCTGCCATGCCTTCTTTATAATCTCTTCTTTCACCCTGAAGCTCATGAACTTTACCACTTTAGATCTTGGTGAGGGATATATACATATATATATATATATATATATATATATATATATATATATATATATATATATATATATATATATATATATATATCCTAGCTCTGGTTTCATTCTTGCACAGTTAAACTGAAGTGGAGGTTTTAGAGGTTTGTGACAAACAAAGGCAAAGAACACCTTAAATCTGATCAGGTCACAGAAGAGGGAATTTTATCATGGCTTTTCTCTGTAGTGAGACCTTAAGCTAAACCAAGGATGCAGAACCGATGCAGAACTGGTAATGACTATATTGGACTTGTAAGCGTTATATATGCTAACCTCTGTTAGGTCTACTATTGTGACTTTATTGATTTTTAGTCTACAACAAAAAATTGTTTAATTTTACACATTATCATTGTGGGACTGCTCCCATCAAACCTCTACTGGGAAAGGAGGGACATTCAGCAGATTCAGCTGATTGGGCGAAGCGACACCTTGTTCCTGCCTATCAGAATTTGGTTTAACCAATCATAGAAACAAATGAGATAAAGCAGACACAATGAAAAACCACAACTTATGCTTTACTGATCTGGCTATTCCTCTTTCTAAGATGAAATAATGGATTCTGAGAAAAACAGATGCTGATTATTTTAAACTAAGGAGCTCCTGTTCTTTTTACAGCTACGTCCAACCTCAAAATAAATGACTGTAATATGGTTTGCCACCTGTTTTAGGACTTCAATTATTTCAGCTGCAGCTGTACATGGTGGATTTTCATGTGTTTGTTATTGACGAACTCAACCTTAATTTATTTAAAGACATCACATATCTAGAAATATTCAAATTATCAAATTATATTCTTTATCTGTGAAGAAGTGTTTTATCCTCTTTAAGCAACAAACCAATTGAGTGAATTTTATTATATTTAGGAATCACTACAACTAAATATAAAAGCAGATAATCTGAAAACAATATTATAGATTGAACCAAGAAAAAAACTAAACACTGGCTGCAAAGAGATTTAACTCTGCCAATTTTCTAGTAACATTACAGCAAAATTATCATTTGAAAGTGCAACAACACTCACTGAGAAAAACACCACCATTCACACTGATGTCTGTATAATCCTTACGAGGAAATTAAATGTTTAAATCTAATTTAAACTCACTATACTGCTGTGTTATTGCTGTATTTAAAAACATGTATTGTCTGATATACATGCATACATGTAAAGGATGCAGGATTCTCATTGGAGTAAGAAAGGATCATTATGAGGAAGTTAAAGCTTCAAATCAATGTCATTGTGCAACAAGATGCTTCACTTAATGGAGTAAACATTTTTGCTAATGATGTGGTTCACTGGGTCCTTATTGGATTTACAAATGCATAGGAACTGATATCTTAACTTCATCATAAAATTGTCTTAACACTATGAAAGGACTGGACTGGTGAAGCACTTTTCTTGCAAAGCATTAAAAACTTCAAAAACAAAAGTCACAATCCTGACATATTTCTTGCAAGAAGATAAGCATTAGTAAGTGTTTTAAACAGTTAATAGTGTGTTTAAAAACACTAACTAGATGTGTTTATAAACACCTCAGTTTTTGCTCTCTTAAAATGATTTTCTATTTTAATCTGACCAGCTATAAATAATAAACCAGATTAAGAATGACCATTGATCCTATTCTTTATTTTTCAGTGTGAGCCTTGAACATATGAATATTAATCACTCTACTTTAATTAATGAATGACAGGATTAGAGAATGAATATGAAATAAAAATAACTAGAGAATTTAATTTTAATGACATTGAGGCCATTAGAAATTCACTGACCAAGTTCTATTTATCCCAAACTCTACCTGTAGGGGGGGCTATACCCTCAGTTACAGTATAATGCTGAGGGTGACCAGCATGAATTGCGCATTTAAAATGACTATAAAAACAAATACTAACCATAAATATGATAAAGGTTCAGATTTGATTTCAAACAGTCCAAAAATTCGGCTCAGATAATTTAACTTTTTGGTCTGTTTTTATATTAATATTTTCTGGTTATGTCTTTCCAAGGCAATTAGCATGAGCTAAGAAACATTTCAGTTATTAGTTTATAATTTATTTCCAGACAAGTTTTACCGGAAAAAATCTGTTAGTACAGATTCAAATTTCTGCTAAAATAAATACCTAATTTTTGTTTAAGTTTATGACTTAATTTGAGGTCTGGTGTAAAATACAAAAGTAAACAGAAACTGTAAAAAAATTAATTGAAAGCGATCAATTTCAGATGTATTCAATACTTTTTTTAAACAACTGAAAAATATTAGTCTTTAATTTACTTTCATTTTCACTAGAAACCTCTCTGGTTCCGTTTTTAACCGGATTTAGGTGACGTCATGGTTAATACAGCATTCCCATTGGTTGAATCTGAGGCTATCAGTGAAGCGTTTGTCTGATAGTTCCGCCCATAAAGTGGACATCAAAACATTGGATCAGCTGAAAAACTGAGTTCTTTCAGGTTTGTTTGAATCCAGAATCATGATGAAGTCACTGTTTTTAGCGCGTCGGATGGGAATCCGTTCACAAGACTTGGCTGCAGGTAAATAACTAATATATTGAATAAGATCTTTTAAAGTTAATCTAAAATGAAATGATTTACAAATAACTGTTAATGCGTGGATGCTCATGTTATTGGATTCTCTCATCTGGAAATACAGATATAAAAAATGTAGGGTAGTTTTTTAATTTTTGTTTTCAATCTACAGAAATAATCAGTTTTTTTTGTTTTGTTTTTTTTTTTGTCTTAATGTACATTGGGTTGATTTTATTTTAAAACATTTTTTATTTTGAAAATAGTGCAATCTAAATATCTCAGTGGAAGGAAAAATGTCTTCATAATTTCTTCATTGTAGGACAGGTAGCATATTTTATGCCCCATATATGTTGTGACTTGAAAGGTTCTGTTTTTGCTGTAAAAAAAAAAAAAAAAAAAATCAATATCTATATATTATTACTGATAATAAAGAGAACAATCTTCTACAGTTGATTTGGTCGCTCAGCAGCTTAAAAGATGTTCACTCTTGTTTTACTTTCTGTTATTTGTTTGTTTCTTTTCTTTCTTTCTCTTTTTTTTGGCTCTATCTCAGCTCAGTCTGGAAACTACCTTAATCTGGTAAAACCTGAACTTTGTCTTGCATGACTTCAACCTGCTATTTGTGCAGAACGCTTTCTTGATGATGTTGGCATCATAACAAAAATGTTATATTTACATATTTTGGACCTGTCGAAATGTACAAAACAATTATTCATAAGCTACCTTTGTTTGTAAAAGTTATACTTTTATTTTTGCACCACTTTAAACATCCTTCCATCCATCCATTATCTGACACGCTTGTCCCAATTGGGGTCGCAAGGGGTGCTGGTGCCTACCTCCAGTTGTCTACAGGCGAGAGGCAGGGTCCACCCTGGACAGGTCACCAGTTAACTGGCTCCTTAGGACTGTAGAGAAGCCAGTTAACCTAACAGTCATGTTTTTGGACTGTGGGAGGAAGCCGGAGTACCCGGAGAGAACCCGCACATGCTCAGGGAGAACATGCTAACTCCATGCAGAAAGACCCCGGGCCAGGAAAAAATGTATATATATCACCTTTTACAATCATATTATCAGGTTATTACAATTAACAACATTTACATTGTTTCAGGCCATGAATACAATTAATAATCCAATTAAAGTGAGACGCTGTAGATGAGCTAAAGGAGTGACTCTGGCCTCATTATACCGTATTTTCACGACTATAAGGCGCACCTAAACGTCTTTTTTTCCCCTCAAAATGTGGGGTGCGCCCTATGGTGCGGTGCGCCCTATCTGCGGACGTTGTTGAGACCACCATGAGTATGTGAGAACTTTAAAGGGGGAAGTGTGGGCGTGGCTTGTGTATAAAAGAACAGGTATGTGCTTTATGCAGAACATTGTTGTCTTAACAACCCTGGAAATGGCAAAGAGACACGCCTATGAAGCCCAGTTTAAACTGAAGGCTATCAGCTACGCAGTGGAACATGGAAATCGAGCAGCTGCGAGAGAATTCAATATAAATGAATCGATGGTTCGCAAGTGGAGGAAGCTGGAAAACGAACTCCGACTGGTGAAGAAGACGCAGCTGAGTTTCCGCGGACATAAGGCAAGGTGGCCCGAGTTGGAGGAAAGACTCGAGCGGTGGATCGTGGAGCAAAGAACAAGTGGGGCCAGCGTTTCAACGGTCACTGTTCGACTAAAGGCGGTAAAGCTGGCGGAAGAAATGAAAATTGAAAATTTTCAAGGAGGTCCATCGTGGTGCTTCCGTTTTATGAAACGGTGCAATTTTTCCATCCGGACCAGGACTACAGTTGCTCAGCGACGTCCAGCGGATTATGATGAAAAGAGGATGAGGACTTTGATGGGTTTGATTAATACTCTGTAATAAATACTTGAATAAAGCACAATCATACTCAGTTTTGCTCCCGCTCTATTTTTCTACCTAAAAGCTTAATTCAACAGCAGACTCTGGGCCGCGGCGCATCCGGGCTCACCTCGGCAGGTGTTTTTTCATCTAAATAATCTAAATCTTTTTAAGTGAGAAAGTCCACCTGAAAATTTAATCACTGCAGTCAGCTCATCCAGATTATTATCCTGCCTATGTTTTAAGTTAATTTATGCGTCAATAAACGAAGAAGAAGGGGAAACCGGCATGTCGGATTTAGCGCAGCTGTTTAATTCAGAAACAGAGGATGATGACTTTGAGGGGTTTGATTAATACTCTGTAATAAATACTTGAATAAAGCACAATCATACTCAGTTTTGCTCCCGCTCTATTTTTCTACCTGAAAACTTAATTCAACAGCAGGCTCTGGGCCGCGGGGCATACGGGCTCACCTCAGCAGGTGTTTTTTCATCTAAATAATCTAAATCTTTTTAAGTGAGAAAGTCCACCTGAAAATGTAATCATTGCAGTCAGTTCATCCAGATTATTATCCTGCCTATGTTTTAAGTTAATTTATGCGTCAATAAACTGTATCAGAGGAGTAATCACAGCCCTGTGTCATCAGCGATGTGTCTCTCACGGCCGGTTCCCCGGTTTGAATAATACTTTGTAAAAAATACACCTTGCAGCTTTATTTGCTGTGATCAGTGGGAATAAAGTAGTTTTAATATGTTTTTAAGTGAGAAAATCCACCTGAGAGGACATGTACCTGTATATAAAAAACGCGCCCTATAGTCCGGTGCGCCTTATGTGTGTGTTAAATACAGAAATGGCACACATAACTGAGACTGCGCCTTTTAGTCCGGTGCGCCTTATGGTCGTGAAAATACGGTATATATAATGAGACCAGAATAGATTTCTTTCACACTGAGATAATCTGATACATTAAAATGTTTAAATATGAATAGAAATTAAATAGCATTTAATTGTTTTCTCTCAAATACTTTTGACCAAAAATACTTTATATTTAAATTTTGCTTTATATATTTTTAAACATATATCAAACAACTACTTGTTTGGTTTTTCATAATTGTTTTAATAATGAGAGCTATTTATTACATAATATAGTTTTAAATATAGATTATTAGTTGTAAACAGAAACTAAATATCTGAATAAAAGTGACGAATTTCAAGTTGGTAATAAATTGTATTATTATTCAGTTTGTTAGTAAAATATATATTATTAGGACTTTTGCTGATCAAACTATTTGATTGATGCTCAAATGAAATTTCTGATTTTTCTTTAGTTTATTGGGAGTTTTGCTGGATTTTACTTTGCTAAAACTATATTTTATTGCTAAGATTCAACTGAATATTGTTAATCTGGTGGAGATACGGAGATATTTGCATTTTTAGCTCTTCAGCTCATAAATCATAGTGCTGTTAAAGTATTTAATCAAGACATGATATTTTTTATTTCCCTAAATATTTTCAGAATAATGTGATTACAGAGATGGATCTTCAATCTTGTACCCATTGTTTGTTTGAGTGATTTAACTTATTTATTGTGGGAATAACAGCCTTTTCTTTCCCCCAGTGACTCCTTCTCTGAAATACTCTACCTGCACCACATCACCTGAACTAACGACCTTTCCAGAGTTTGTGGAAGTTGAGTTGGTGGATGAGCAGCCAGTCTCCTACTACGATAGTGTCCTTAGGAAGAAGATCCCCAAACAGGACTGGATGGCAAAGAGTGAAGGTCCAGGTTCCTGGAAGAGAAGCAATCAGGCATTAATCACTGCTCAGAAAACCTTTAAAAACAACATTCATTTCGCTAAACAGAACTTCAACCCCATTGGAGGTGAGTTATGAAAAATATCCCCAATGCTTCTATGTAGCAAAAAAAACATTAAGCTGCACATAGTTAGTTTATCTCTCTCTGGACACAAACACTTAAACACAGAGATAGAAAAACAAAATTAACCATGACTTGAACCATTTGTTTTATTTATTTTTTAAATAATTTAAAGAATTTCTTGTCGGACATAATAAAGATGGAAATAAATTTAAAGAATGACAGAAAAATATATTTTTTGAATTTTGAATCATAAACATCAATTATAAAATTTAAATGAAAATTTACAGAGAAATATTGCTTGAGAGTCGCCAGCCTATAGGAATTATGTAATTAAAATGTGGTCCTTTTTTAATTATACAGTTATAATATTGCTTAAAGTAATAAGCAATATTACTGGCATTTATAATAACCTACCTGAATCAAGGTGTTAATTTATCACACCTGGTTAGAGCACGGTTTTTGTGCTTGGTTCGATTCCCACAGCCTCACCTCTGGGTCCCTGAGCAAGACCCTTAACCCCTCACTGCTCCCCAAGGCGATGGATTAAATGCAGTGGTAAATTTCTCCACTGTGAGATCAATAAAATTACATTTTTATTTATGAACCAGGGCAGGATGTATCCTGACATTTAGTGAACGTTTACAGAGTCTGAATAAAAATAGAAAGACTTAAATTCTCTCCAGATTTTCTCTCTGCGATTTGATCACTTATAGGCCGACATAAAAGACTGATGTTAATTCCTACAAACAGACTTCAGGTGAATCAGGTTTCTGCTCCTTCAGTCGTCTGGAAGCAAACAGAGAAATAAAGAGCTGAGAGCAGCTAAACTGGGAGTTTATTGATCAGCAGCTGGAAGATCATCCTGATGGCAGCTGGAAGGAGCTCAGACTGTCTCACTGATCACTGACAGTTTATTGATGGACTGAAGCTTTAATCAGGTTTTACTCTGATCAGGAGGGAACATCTGGAAAAACCATCCTGATCAACAGCTGCTTTAGATGGAGCTGCTTTATAGAGAAGGAGCTCCTGGGTCAGTGGTTCTGGTTCTAGTGAGGAGATCTGTGGACAGGTCTGTTTGTTTCCAGCTGAAACATTAGAGACTGAGAGGAAGCAGGAAGATCATTGATGGAGGATGGAGAACAGAGACTGAAGCTGCAGAGAACAAACTCTGGAGCTAAACTCTCATCCAGTGACTCACGTTTATCCATGTTTTCCAGACATCTCAACTCCCTGTCTGTCTGTAGATCCCACTCATGTGAAAATAAACTAATGAGGAGTTTAACTTGTCCTAAAGTCCACATTGTTTCTGTATACATGAGTCATATGAAGTTGAACTGCCTTTGATGTGTGTAGATAAACACTGCAGACAGTAAATCTGTATATGATGAAGGTTTCTACAGGTAATGTTTTAGCATTTTCTCATGTTTTTTTTTTCTTTCTCTCCAAGATTTCTTTGTTGTGTGGATGACAGTGTTTATGGTAAATAGTTAAAACTGCTGTTGAAAGTGTGATCTATAACATCTTAAATTAGTTTTTTCTCTGTCTTCTAGGTGTCCATATTGTCCAGAACATTTACGGCTGTAAATGGAACGATGAAGCTGGACAGGTTACTGGCTATAAGCAGGATGGCTGGGATGGGAAAGACTTCATGGCATCGATCATGGAGACAAACACCTGGATTGGTCCAAAACTACAGGATGAAAATACTACAAACAAATCAAACAACAAAGCTCTGCTGGCACCATGGGAGAACTGCTACAGCCTGATTTACCCTGAGTGGAGGAGGAAGTACATGAATGAATGAATGACAATATGAATGATTTTTTTCTCTTTATATCCTATTTCTTTATTTTTATATTTAGATTACATGTATATTAAAGTGATAATGTGTGAAATTGGTATAAAAAAGTTAAATGTATTTTATTGTTTCTCTTATTCCTGTAATCTTTTGCATTAAAAATATTCCTATTACTACGTTACTTATGAATCCACACGACTCAGAGGTTCATTAAGTGAGCAAGTTAATTAACTACACTACATTTATACCTGCATTTACAGATTCATATGTGCTGCACACATTCATGCAATTATTACCCATAACCCACCACCATTTAATATGTCTGCTATTAACCTGGATATTATATTTGTTCTGTTTTTGTGTTTTGTTTTGCATAGAAACATAATTTACTATTTTAATCTATTCTTCTCATGATGTGCAGCACTTTCACCATGCCTCTGTTTTTTCTTAAAACATCCATCCATCCATCCATCCATCCATCCATCCATCCATCCATCCATCCATCCATCCATCCATCCATCCATCCATCCATCCATCCATCCATCCATCCATCCATCCATCCATCCATCCATCCATCCATCCATCTTCTTTCCCTTATCTAGGGTCGGGTCGCGGGGGTAGCAGCTTCAGTAGGGATGCCCTGACGTCCCTCTCCCCAGCCACTTGGGCCAGCACCTCCGGGGGAATCCCAAGGTGCTCCTAGGCCAGCCGAGAAACATAATCCCTCCAGAGTGTCCTGGGTCTCCCCCTGGGCCTCCTCCCGGTGGGACGTGCCTGAAACACCTCACCAGGGAGACGTCCAGGAGGCATCGTAATCAGTTGCCCGAGCCGCCTCAACTGGCTCCTCTGTTCTTAAAAGATGATATTAATAAATAAATTGAGTGATGCATTGCAACAATCTGATCAATATATACATCTAAACTGATCTATAGTGACTAAGAGCACCCAATGATGTTCACCGCCCTTCTTCCATCTCACATCTTTTTAAGAAATCTTATTTAAGATTTTTCCTAAATAGCCTCATAAAAAGAGTTTGATTTATACTTTCGCACCACTTATTGAAAGGAACATTCTTTTCATGTTTGTCTGGGTATGATTTCTAGTAGCTGTTTATTTCTAACTTTGTATAATAAAAAACATACTGACCCCTGGGGGAAGTCCACCCATAACGACTAAAAATTACCCATTTATTACATATCGATGTGTGCTTGTGTGCACACACCCATAAAGTAGATATTTTGCTTATGTTTTTATTTATTAGGTTTAGATTTCGCTAAACTGGGTTGGATTATATATTATGGTGTTTTCATCTAACAAACAAGAGAATGTTTTTCATATCCTGTAATTTGAATGTAATGAATTAAAAATTTTTATTCATTATACGTTTCTAATTGGGATCCTTAACCGATTTCTCTATACTGTTCGTTCTTCCATTCATTTTTCAAGTTAGTTAAACTGTCTTTTTAATCTTTCAAAAATAATAATTTTGAAAAAATATGATATATCTCTTACATGGGCTTTAAAACCTCTTACTGTATGAGTTGTAATAAATTAGCATGTTTTGATGCAACTAATGAATCAATTTTAAGGCAATAAAGTTTTATTTTTATTTTGATTACACAAGAAATACTTTTTCTGTCTTTTTTGATTCCATACAGAGTTTGCATCCAAGAAACATACTATATACCCCTACCTTATTTATATGGACATCATATTCTTAACATTATTGTGTTTCTTTTAAATGACAAAGTTTGGAATATGATTTTAATTTGCACTTCTAGCTTTATTAAAGATAAAGATTTTTATGTGTAGATTTTATTTTTCAAAATATTTTCAGTATCATTTTTTTCTCATAATAAACACATAAAGTAAAGTTTTTTAGTCTGCAAGTAGGTTCAGTCTGGTTATTATATCATGAGAAGAAACTGGGCAGTAAATGTTTATTTTCCACGAGGGACCAAAGTCGAAACTTGCTGGAAAATTTGGCTGAATTGATGGAGGAAATGATATGAATGACACTGAGCACAATAGCAAAAATAAATAGAATTTTAAAGGGTTGTTGAATCATTTCAACTTTAGGCCAATTTTCAAATTGCCTTTTCTTATTAAACCCTCGAATCATTTCATCTAAATATATCGGATGGTATCATATCTCCTGTCTGTAGAGCTGAGAGGAGAGGTGCTTCCATATATGATTGAAAGTTGTTTTTTAGACGTTCTGAATAATCTCTACTCTGCTCCACCACTGCTGGCTGTGTCTCTGTATCCAGACCGTTTCAGTCAGATCTCCCTAAAAAGCCACAACAAATAGTTTATTCATTTCAAACTGAGCACCTGCTGACACAATAAATACCTTCTGCTGTACCAAACACCTTTTTCTTAATGTTTACTGTTGTGCTGCGTGTGACGATGTATTTTATTGTTTTATGCACATGCAGGTGCTTTTGGAGCTGCAAACTGTTCAAACTGAAATCAGGCCACATTTTAAAGGTAATCAGAATGAAACATCAAAATATAGATCCCTAAAAAAAAAAACAAATTTGGGCAAGACCTGCAGTGTAAATGTAGCCATAGTGGCTTAAATTGGATTTATTCTGAAAGGGACTGTTTAGACGTCCATGAAAAAGTTTGAGTTGCATATGGGTAAAAATATTTGCCTGCAGTGTGAATATAGCCTAAACAGGTTACCTCCTGGGCTCCTCTTTAAGGGATTTCAATGATGTTTCTCTGGGAAAAGTCACCAGGAAAGACAGGGATTGTATGGATTTTTTCTTCCATAGAAGCAGGTCTGAATCAGGACCAAAAAATGACCCTGGAATATTTAGCTATGGTGTTCCATTGGTCAAAGCTCAAAACAGAGAATCCAGTATTCAGACAGACAAACAGTATCTCAAAAAGCATTTGTTTAAAACAATGGATTTGCAGTGAACAGCTAGGTAACATCTAAGGCTGGAACCTCTGCAAGCAGAAAACACAGGTTAGTGATTACGTCAATCTGGCAGAGGATGATTACGAATGTTTGATTCATTAACCAGAATTTTAGAGTTCAGTCTGTGCCCAGAAGTAGGAAAAGAATCCAGCCAGATGGCTAACAGCAGCATACAGCGAACGCCGCCTAGAAAGTTCCAGGAGCCGGAGCCTGAAGACTGCTGAACCGGCTAACAAGCAGACCAAAGAAGGCATGAGTTTCCAGAAGATGTATTTATATTTCTAAATTCTCATCAGAAAAGCAAATCAATAAACTTTGAACCACTGAGAAATTCAGCAAGCCAAATATTTCCTTCTATGTGATCTATTAAACGGGAAAACAATTACTTTAACAGAAAAACAAAATAGAATCAATGAGGAGGAGGACAGACATTAGTCTCAATCTGCTGGTTGACAGACGAGAAAGGGGGCAAATAGAGACGATGACAAACACTACAAGTCAGGTCCAAGGTGATTCCAAAACAGAAAATCTTTGAGAAAGAAAAACATGTTGTGAGGCCTTATCTGTAAATAAGGAACAACTTCTGAGCAATAAAGAAGTTACAGTTTGACCAAGATTTAAGGGACCCATCCTTCCAGTAAACCTCCATCTGATGTTTCTCCTCCTTATTCCCAGAAGGAAGCAGAGCTGAAAGTTTATAGCTTTATTTTCTGGACACAGAAACGAAGCAGTGGTCATTTTATCACAGTTACCAGCAGCTCACTATGAAGCTTTTCTGTTTACTGGTTTTTCTGGGATTACATGGAACGGCAGCAGGTGAGAAAATAATGCTTCAAATTATCTTTATAAAGATTCAGCATATTTACATATTTTTCTATCAACAGGAACAGTGAACTTCTTGGTAAATTTGTCCAAACTGACTAATTTTCATTCAAGGTCTCAGGGATTAACTCAGTGGTACCCAATCCTGGTCCTCAGAGACCCCTGACCTGCATGTTTTAGATGTGTCTCTGTTCCAGGACACCTGATTTAAATCAGAGCTCCTCCTTTCTGGTGCAACAAGGAAACACCTAAAGCATTCAGGACAGGGGTCCCTGAGGAACAGGGTTGGGAACAATTGGATTTTTTTAATCTGGTAAATGCTCTGATTTATTGTAGAGCTTTTATATACTTTCTGAACACAAGATCAGCCTATGCTGAAGATAGCTAAGGTGCTTAGGGTCCCAAAACCTCACAGGCCTCCTATACATGCTTTAATAAAAAAAAAAAAATATATATATATATATATATATATATATATATATATATATATATATATATATATATATATATATATATATATATATATATATATTTACATTTGATAGGATTCTTTCAGCATGAACTGATTGAATCAACCTTAAATTGCTTAAAAATCTTAATAAATTGGCAGATTTAACTTTAAAGCCATTTGTAGCTTTTGTTTTCTAAATGCTTTACAAATAAGGTCACTTTCTAAAGAACAATCATTGCTGATTATACTAAATATTTTTGTATAATTTTTTACACAAAGATCTCAGCTAATAGTAACCAATTACCCATAATCCCTTTCTTGCTTAGCCAGTTAAACCAGTCTCCTCTCCCAGATTCCTCCATTTCATTAAAAAAATAAATAAATAAATACTGAAACTAAAATAAAGTTTCTTCTTTGTTGCAGACACCATCCAGCCTATTTTAGACTAAGAAATCATTTTATATCTGTGATATTATTCCAGGAATGTGAAATTATTTCTAATTATTATTAAATTCTTGGACAGCAGCTTGGGAAAGAAAAACTTCTTCTTAGTCTACTGTTTTCTGCAAAAGCAGGAAAGAAATAACTTATTAACTTTCATGACTACTATATAAAAACAAAACTCATCTAAACTGCGTTTTTGTTGCTTTCCTTACAGTGACTCACTCTCTGCAGTATTTCTATACTGGATCTACTGGAGTCCCAGAGCTCCCAGCATACGTGTCTGCTGGGTACGTGGATGATGTTCAGATCAGTCACTGTGACAGCAGAACCAACAGGAACGAACCCAGACAGGAATGGATGAACTTTCCTCATTACTGGAAGAGTGAGACTGAGATCTGTTTGATGAACCAGAAGATACTTGAGTGCAGCATGGAGACGGTGAAGCAGCGCTTCAACCACACTGAAGGTTAGTTCATCTTCAACTATTATTGGATGTTTAATCAGAGCTCAACCACAGCTGCATAAAATTACACAGACTCCAAGATTGTGTCTCAATTTCTTAACATTGTATCAGTTAAGAGGCAGAAAATAAACTATAGAGACAGGATTATTAATCTGACTTCACCCACAGTCATTTTAGTTATTAGTGACTCCAACAGAGACGCATACTTTAACATATAATTTTCAAATGCCTACTTTCTCATACAAATTTAAAACGAAACCTTATTGATATTTAAAGTTTTAAGATCAGTATTCTGGGTATTGATACAGGAGACGATCAATAAATAACGCCCCTGACCCGCTTCCAGATGTTTGATCGAGCTGAAATTTTGCATGTGAAATTATTTAAATCTCTATAGATTAAATAGCAAATTACAGCTCTGAACAAATTGTGGTTTCTGATTTACAGGTGTTCAAACGGAGTAAAGTCTGTGTTTTTGCATTTGAAAGGACGCACACAACAAGAGACTTTTGATCAAATGAAAATAACTTCTAGTAATAATGTCCCATTATATAACCTTTTAAAACATTTTGCAAGATTTCATAACGGGTGTTGTGATTCTATAGTTAAATTCTATTCCCAGCCCGCTGGGAATTTATGTTTCTGATACTTTAAGATGTTTATTGCCCTCCCCTGTAGGGGTGGTAAAATATCTTATTTAATCAGATATTATTTCAGCTGTTATATACTGTTTATGACACACAGTCCTACTAACTGTGTGTAAGAACAATAAATGAAAGAGTGATTCGAGCACTAATCATGGTCAAACAGTTATTTCTGCACATACATGGAATAAATTCACCACAACTTCTGTTCAAAATACAAGATTTTATTAACAAAAATCATTCAGCTCCAAGTCAAACATATTTCAGTTTAACACTCTCAACTAAGACTAGTAAAACTCAACTAAACTAAACTAACTACTATGTACAAAGAGGAAGGGGAAAACGGTTGAAAAACATATTACAGTTTAAGATGGATTCTGTGTTTGAAACCAATGTTTATCTGGAATAATTTGGAATGTGATCAAATTAGCTTTTCACTAATTTTAAAGAAATTGGAATGTTTTCAGACCAATTCACAATGCAAATCCATGAGGTGAATAAAACATTATTTGGCCTAATAATGTTCTATTGAATGATTTGCTTAATCAAGAACCAATAACCTTTAGCTAAATGATTCTTTACCCTCTTTGAAATAGCTAGCAGCGAATAGACATCAGGATTCCACTAAATGACTCTTGGTCATACTTGGCAATGGAAATGTAATGAGCATTTGAGGAACACGTGAACACTAATGTTCTATCAGTGTTTAAACCCTTAGTGAATAAAGCTTGTCTAAGCTTTAGCAACAGCTCAACACATATTCCTGTAACATAGCGTAGCATGCAGTCCATTCTTTAGCATCAATTAGCGTTGTCTTTACTCGGCAGTAAACAGACGATATGATTAGCATCATCAAAAGACACATTGCTTGTTCTGTCCCTAATCATGCCAGACCTGCAAACCTTTTTCCATGTCCGTTTGGAAAGCTTGAGTTTCATCCAGTTTTGCAGCTCTGCAGTCAGGGACTCATTGTCTCAGTCTCACAGCAGGGGTCCCCTCAGTCTCACACCCAGGGCATGGTCTTCATCCAGTTTGGCTCTAAAAGTTCTGAAACTCAAGAGAAATGTGTTGCAAAGGTTCTGTTTGCAGCAGTTAGGTTCTGAAGACTTCTGACTCATCCTTGATGGTTCTGGGGATCTGGTTCCCCTGGGGCCTGCATCTCCACTGTGGGCCACAGTGGGCCCCAGCTTTGAGCGCAGGAGCAGAAGCAGGCTGGATCAGACGAGGGAGAAAAAGTGAAGAGCAAAAGAGGAGGAATCCTGTGTGCTCTGTGGTTTTGTTCTGCCCTCACAGAGGGGGGTAGGTTTTCACACCTCTGTGACTTCCATGTGACTGCTTGTGGCTGCTTTGGCTGAAAAAGGGGGGCTGCTGAAGTCCCCCAGCTGTTATTCACCAAAGCTGCGTTTTCTTCTCTGGTCATCCTATCAGGATGAAATATGGACACTGGTTCACTGTCCAAAAAGTATGATCATGGCAAATGGCATAACACGGGCATCATCATCATAAATTGCTTTAATTTAATCAAAAGTCTTATGTGGTGTGAGTCCTTTCCAGTAGATAAACCGGATCACTGCTCGACACTCAACAGGCTCCATTTCAGACTTCACTCAGTTCAAACATCTGTAAATCAGAAACCATAAATAGTTCAGAGCTGTAATTTGCTACTTAATCTATAAAGATTTACATAACATCACATTTAAAATTTCAGCTGGATCAAACATCTGGAAGTGGGTCAGGGGCATTAAACCCTCCTGAAGGCCCCCTGCTGGACTGTAGCCTCGTGAGACCATCCTGATCTCGCGAGCTTTCAAGGTTTCACTCGCTAATCAGTCTGGAGACTCTCCGTTAAAGAAAATTTGGAGCCGTTCCCCAAACGAACGTCCAATCAGCGTTGGCTTTGAGGCGGGTTGAGGTGTGACACAACAAGAAGTGCGACAGTTCAGTCTAAAGAACATGGCGGCTTCAGCCGATGAAACTAGCGTTAGCGTGGCTATCGAGCAAGTTTTATCGGAATTACAGAGTATTTCTTCACTGAAAGAAGAGCAAAACACTGCTCTGGAGGCTTTTCTCAGAGGAAAAGATGTTTTTGCTCTTCGGCAAGAGTTTGATGTTTTGGCTCCTCTTCGCCATCGCTCTGTTACGTCATATGCTTCGTTGATCTGATTGGTTTATTTGGCCTGTCTATCACCAACATAGGCCAATCAGCTAACCAGTATTTTCGCCCCTTCCCAAAATTACTTCAACGGAAGGTTTCCAGATGGATATGTGGAGGAAATCCATCTGGCAGAGTCAGGTTAGCTGGTCTGAGGCTCTAACAGAAATATCAACATAATTCTTGGAGCCTTTTGTTCTTATTTAAGTGGATATAATGAAAAACATGTAATATTCAATCACACAAAAAAAATATTTAAATAATTCAGTCCATAATTTTCATTGAGCTCAAAAGCTATTGCTAAGCTGATGTCTCCATTGTTGAGCTCTGGCTGTTCTTCAAATATTCCTTTGGTCTAAAACATGGAGATCCTGTTGTATAAATATGAACGTTCTGTTTTTTCAGGTGTTCACATTTACCAGGCCATGTATGGCTGTCAGTGGGATGATGAAACGGAGCAGATTAATGGATACCAGCAGTACGGTTATGATGGAGAAGATTTTATTTCCTTTGACCTGAACACTGGAACATGGGTGGCTCCAAAACCTCAAGGCCTCATCACCAAACACCAATGGGACGCTGACCGAGCTTTGATTGAACGAGCTAAAAATGATCTCACCCAGCGTTGTCGTGAATATCTGGAGATGTATGTGGTTTACGGGAGCCACACTCTGATGAGAAAAGGTAGAAATTAGACCACATTAGGTCGGGAAAAAATGTGTTACTGTTGGAAATAATGTTAGATAAAAACTGTTTCCTGTATTTTTCCCAGATCTTCCCTCAGTGTCTTTCCTTCAGAGGTCTTCCTCGTCTCAAGTCAGCTGCTTTGCTACAGGTTTTTATCCCAGTAAGGCTAAAATGTTCTGGAGGAAAGATGGAGCAGAGGTCCATGATGGTGTGGAGAAAGGAGAGATCCTCCCTAACAATGATGGGACCTACCAGATGTCTGCTGACATCGATCTTTCATCTGTTCCACCTGAAGACAGGACCAAGTATGAATGTGTGTTTCAGCTCTCTGGTGAGAAAGATCTCATCCATGAACTGAAGAAAACAAAAATAAAAACCAATAAAAACCACAGCATGCTAAATGCCTGCAGTGTCTTCCAAGACAAAACAATATTAACTATTTCAGGAATCATTTCATTCATAATTATTTTAACACTTTGAAACCCTTATAAACAACACATGTAATTTATAGATGTGACGATGTTTCAACAAAAAATGTCACTGTTTGTCAAGGAAGATGATAACTAATGAAAACATCTTTATTGAATTAAAATATAAAATAAAAAAATCTATCCAATAATTTTATTAAAAATAAATGAAATACATTTAATCCCTTTTTTATTTTGTTTGTGTCCTGTGCTGTTAACATAGCTTGGAGATTTGTTGCCCCATCGAAAGAGAGAGATAGAAAAGAAAAAAAACAGCAAAATAAACAACACAAAAGATAAATAGTAATTTCTAAAAGCTTCTTCCACACCGCATGAGATAAGAGGGAAAGAAAACAAGAGAAAAAAAATAGGTAAAGAGAAGACAAAATACAAACAAAGTAAACATAAATCTATCTTAAAGAGCAGCGAGTATATTTAGATTCCCAGTCAGTAAGTGTGTATGGTAAGTAAAACATCTGGTGATTACACACTGTTATTCAGAATGGTATATAACTGTAGCTGCAGCTTAGTATTTAGCATTAGTGTTTATCCATGAGCACCTGGAAATAAAACCCTGTATGTATGAATGGACATGCTCATGTATAAAGGATTTACTGTCTTTTTCAGAAGGAAAATAAGCTTAATAGCAGGTGTGGGGGGCCCCAGACTCACACTACAGGGCCCAGGATTGAGATCACTGGGATACAGGGAGAGCATGAAAGATTATTACAAAACCTTTCTGTATCACTACTTTTGGATTCTGGAGACTTTCTGACCTTCTGAATTTTAATTTGATTCACTTGTTCTTAAATACTTCATAGTCTCCAAACACCAACATTGGGGATTAATAAAAATGAGATCAGCTACTAGCAGAGAGCCACTCAATGGTTAGAGTAGACCGAGAAATATCACTTTATTCTATCACTAACTATACATGTATGTGTAAGACCAGCATCCCATTCACTATAAATAAATGCTGGAAGTTTAACACCTTTAAGACTAAATTTGGCAACTGGTTTAAAACCAGTCAACATGATCTCCATTAAAAAACACCGGGTCACTCTTGTTTAATGAAATGCTTTTTTTCTTATGATTTTATTGCATATTTGTAAAATAATGTGTGATTTGAACTTTGTTGATTTTTAGGCTGGCTTTAGGGGATTACCAATGGAAATTAGCTTCATTCTCCAAACTCTGGTATATTTACATTGTCTAATATTTATGATTGTGCACTGTCCCTTTGCAAATAAAGAACCAAAAACTGGACTTTATTTACTTTCAATTAAAGATTATTAATAGAATTTTTAAAAGGTAGAACCAGGGGTGTGCTGGAGTTATAAGTCTTGCACTGATCCAGTTCTCCTTGGTCTCTGTGTTTCTTTTCTTTTTTAAATGGTAACATTAAGGAGGATGAAACATCTCTCATTTAAAAACAATAAATCAAAAAGATTTCTATGCATAATAGATTTTAAAAGATGTTATTATAATTTTTATGACTTTATAAAGATTATAAAGGCATTCATATTAATTTATACAGTACCCTGTAAAATGATTTCTATCCAAAGGAATTATTTTACAACATATAAGCCACTAGATGGGGCAGAAAAGCTTTCACAACCTTTGTTTTACTGCTTGTTTCCATAAAAAAAAAAAATTAATAAATGAAATTTTGGCCCTTTAAATAGGGGTCGTTAAGTTTCAAACACTTTCAAGAAGAATTGAAAAACAATAATGATTAACATTATTAAAAATAATAATAATAAAATAAAAAAGTTTTTCTTTCATTACCAACCCTAATATGTCAGTTCTTGATATAAGTGATGTGACATTGTGGCCTTTATGGTTTTGCTGTTCCTCAGATTACAAGAAACCACAACAGGAGGGATGACCATGTTTACTAACAGAACAGTAAGCTAGATATTTTGAGGTTTTCCTCTCATCATTTTTATAATTTCTTTTTGTTGTCAGGCCATTTGTTGCTATTTTGAATAGTGATATACAAGTGTGTTCCCTGGGGTCTAAAGAACTTCATTGTGCATCCTTTAATTAAAAATAAAAGAGCATCTATTAAAAAAAAACATTAATTTTCTCAAACTCATGATTGAACTCAGACTGTTTCATTGACAATCTCACCCGACCAACTGAAGCAAATAGAGCTTTTTCCCAGTAGACCATTAAAAAGCATTTTATACTTGAGCCCCAAGAATAACAAGCACAGGAATACCCACACATATGACAGGGGCACAGGGGGTCATTGGGTTATTGGACATGTTGGTGTGCACGCATACTAACACACAGCATAGAGAATAAACTCCATGCAGAGACCTCAGGCTGGGATTCAAACCCCTGACCTTCTTATTTGTAGAATTTCAGTGTGCTCAGCTTTTATTTGGAATTATACATTAGATTCAAACAACCATTTTATCATTTGCTCTTCTATTAATTTTGAATGTGGAAGTCGGTTGAAAAAATAATTTAAAAAACTGAAGAGAGAAAAAAATGCATGTCTTCTATATTCAACATCCTTTGATTGATGTTTCACAACTTTTTCTAAAATCTAAAATATCATGGATGGGTAAAAATCTAACTGTTAGAGAAATGATAATGTCAATATCCTAAAGCAGGTATTAGTTACGACAAAAATCTTGTCTTCTAGAGCCTTTATATTACTAAAAGCTCTAACAACGGTAGCTCTTTATGTCTTTCTAGAATTTGGGATTTGATTTAAACTCTTAAAAACAACAGAAAAACTTCTGAACTCTTATGAAGGTCTCAAAGCCACCACTAGAGGGGGCAGTAAGACTTCCATGAAAGGTATTCTTTTATTTTTACTTTCATTAGCAACCCTAATGTGTCAGTTCTACCTGGATATAAGTGATGTCATTGAACAGAGAAATGAAAAGCTGTTGATGTCAATATGGTGACCTTTATTTAGCTGTTCCCCCATGAGACACCTATAGGCACCTTGTTTTTTTGTTTCTAAAATATTATTTTTTATCATTTCTGTTTGATATGTGTAGCATCTTAGTCAGTAATATGCAATTTTTGAATGGGCTTCATAAATAAATTGGTTTCTTTGCCATTTCACTATGAGAGAAAGTATATTTTATCCTAATCCGTTTTGTAATAGATGCAGTTAATCATCATATATAGCTGATATAGCAGCTAAGTGTAGTTTTGTACAGTGAGTATCATGTGTGATGCAGCCAGAATAATGATGACTATATATGCAGATATTTGTTATAATGCTTTCAAACAAATACAATTATCAAATGTTGTGGGCACATCACCCAGATTTGTGACACATTAGGAGTAACATAGTAAAAAGTAGGAAGAATTCAAATGAAGAAAAAGAGCCAAACATCTAATTTCTGGCAAAAGAGGGGTTTAATTTTATTTTTAACTGAAAAGTTTGGAATTTTAAGTTTTGAAGGTTTTAAATTGGGCCTATTTTCTTCAAATTCTCACCTAGTCCACAGAAAAAAACAGTTTAGTAATCCACATGCACAGATTGTAAAACTGTCTCACATAACTAAATACAGTTTAGTAAAGCGTGAGCATAGATTTCCACCAGCTTTGTGGGGGTTTTTTTTCAGCTGCTGATAATTGCTGGGCTCAATAAATAAGCTACATCAGGCAAGTTCATTTTCATCTTACTAACAAATGGGTGATTGGACATGTTTGAATGCTCACATACACCTAAACATACAGCAATGTAAAAAACCAAAACATTGACCTTATAACCAACAGGGAGGACATTCAAACCCCATGCAGAGAGCTTAGGCTGGGATTCAATCCCAGGACCTGATTATTTTTCCCTGTAGAATTTCAGGGACACATATAATAGGGACATTTGCTCTTATTTTAATTTTGAATGTCAAAGTCATTAGAAAAAATAAAAACTTTGATTAGTATTTCAAAACTTAAATAAACTTAAATAATAAAATAATAAATAATAAACTTTAATAAAAGTATCATGGATGGGTAGAAATCTAAAAGGATACAAAAATAATAAAACTAAAAGAATACTTTCTCATAAGACAAAACTTATGCTGTCAATAGCCTTTACATTAATACATAAATAAATGCAGCTATAACAGTCTACAGACTTGGGGGGGGAGGAACAACAAAGGAACAACATAAATTTTTTTTGGTCTGAATGCCAGGTGTGCAGACCTTTACCACTAGAGGGTGCCCTTGACCAGAAAGAATAACTCTCTAACTCATTAACTGCGCTAAAAATGACCCCAAAATAAAAATCATTCTGCATTTAATAGGATCCAGAAATTAAACGCTGAACCCAGAAACATTAGGTAGATGCAAGCTGTATAATTTGTACCAACCTGTATAATTTGTAGAATAATGAGCATATAATTTGTTTTTGGTGTTAATATAAACGATCAGTATCAGTAGGAGAGAAATGGCAGCAGAAACTTAAATCCATGAACATCTCCGGTCGTCACGTGGTTAAAGAAGCAGCTTCATGGTACTGAGCCCATAGATATCCATAATAAAGGCTAGATGTCTTACGGCGGAGTCTCAAACGTCATCACCGGCGGCCATCTTACCTCAGGCAGGCTTTCTGTTGTGCTCTGTGGTACCTAATGTAAGGTGAGTGATCAGCATGAACACAAATACTCTTATCTCACTGAATTCTTGACGGATTTACAGTTTGGTTTCTTACAAACATTATGAACGTGGCTATAATTCTAGAAGCTTGAACATGTCGAAATTGCAGATTTTCTTGTCGAAAAATGACTTAATCATGCAGCATAGTTGTGCATCACGGCTACTTGCGCAAGTTATCAAGGCTGAGACTATTGGTCAATTATATAGGTTTTACTGACACCACTAACGATTGTATGACAATTAATCTTTGGTGTAAATTACAATCTTTGTGGATCTGGTTGTAGTTATTAGTTGGCTAATAACAATAATCTGAGTGTTGTTGTATTTTCATTATTAGCCTAACGTTAGCTGGCTAATAACAAGAAGCTGCGAAGTGAGACCTAACGTTAGTAAGTTAGCAGCTAACATTACAGTTTAGCTAGCTGCTAACGTTAACCAGCAACTTTACATCAGTGGAAGAG